TCCACTAGATTCATCATGTTGATGCCGAGGAGCCCTTCGTCCGTCCGCAAGCATGCGTGCGTCGAGCATTCTCTCCATGGCCTCCAAGAGCGAGTCTGCCATTTGGCGCAACTCAGCTCATGCAACAGGGGATTCTTCTTCTCCACAACGACCACCATGAATACTCGAATTGGATCCTGACATGTTAGCACTTATGCAAGAAAAGTGGAATATGTAAATTTGTGGAATCACACAACCTTACCTCTTACTTACCAATGCTCTTGCTTGTTCTCAAGGACAGGGAATGTGCTAGTGTAGCAGTTCAACGGAAGTGATTGAGAGGTCCCAAGAATTACGAGTTGAACGTTCTGGTTTCAGATTTTGGTGGAGCTATAGGTGGTTAATCAAGGGAGGCTACGGTACTGCAAACCAAGTGGTTTGATGTGTTCAAAAGATATGAAGTTGCTGCTATGGAAATTACCACCAACTTGAATATGTAAACTAAAATTTATAGTTATACAACCCGCAACATAGCCCCAACTTTCAATTCTTTTTACTTCTCTTTTTTTTAATCTTTCTTTCTTCTTTCTTCTCTCTTTTTTTTAGATTTTTTTTATACTACCAGGGGTTCGGATAACAAATGAAACACAACGCAAAATATATAAAGATGGTAACTAGCAACTTGATGAACACAACAACACAAAGATAGCAGTACCGCCAAAAGGCTATAGGATTTTTTTGTAGCTTTTTCAGTGGACTTTAGGTGATGAACAAAAACAGTAGCAAATGATGGATAAATCACAAGTAAATATGCGGATGATGGTGAAAACTACCGTGTCAACGAAAGCTTTGATACCAGTTGATAAGGAATGTCCTTGAGGGTGGCCTGATCTTCACGACAGTACGTCACGAATCAAAGATAACTTGATGCGAACAACGGGATAACTAGCTTTATACCTAACAAAGGTTAGATGCGACCAAGCGACGGGGAGAGAGGCACCGAAACTGCGAAGACTTCGACTCAATATCCGAACAACCGTAGAACCACAAACCGGAACTAATCCACATAAAACGGTGCAGCCGTACTGGAAACCGTAGAGCATGAACTAGGAGAACCCAGAGGGATCACTTTACAAGTCCAAGAAGAACAAGGAAGAACAAAGGTTTGAGTAAGGCACTCAGCAGCTCGGCTGCAATATCATGTAGTTTATCAAGTCATCAAAAGGTTCCTAATAGCTTAGAGACAGGGGATATTTATACTAGGAACAACCCTCCTAACATGTGTGAAAATGAAATGGAGTTTTTGAAGATAGGCAATGTGAAAGGTCCCCTCGAGATGGATTCCTGAAGTGGTCTTCTCGTAACTGTTGGCTTCCAGACCAGTGTCCACTAATCTAGCCATAACTCCTTATTGGGAAGTCCAAATGACGAATCGTTTGTTGGGTGTGAAAGTAGACTCGAAGAGCTTTCTAGCCATGTGTAGCATGCACTACGAAACTTTGTAGATTGGTACATTTTTGCATAGGAAGTTGTACCAAATTCTGCCCCTGGCAGACTATTGACCTTCTGCATCACTTTTTCCTGGGTCCGGTCGTCCGTCCGTGTTACTTGTCATCCGCGTTATTTTTTCCTGGGTCCGGTCGTCCGTTCGTGTTACTTTTTCGATGTAGCTATTTTGTAGCACCGTGTCTTGAGCCTTCGGCCATGTGCCTTCCACATCTTCATGTGTAAACTTAAGCATCATCAAGATAGGACATTTAGATAGTATATATAACATTCTTAGAAGTGTTAAAATTACAATAAGTTAGAAATGAATTCACCTGCGCTTATAGTTTCTTGGCCCGGCTTCTTGTAAGTGGCCCTTGATTTGTATCCTTTGGATTTGAGCTAGGGTGCATGGCTGGGATGTCCTCGTCACCAAGTTTGGTGCTAATCCAACCACATTTGATAGATTTGCTTCTCCTTCTTCCTCTCTTCTCTCACGTTGTGGTGTGTGTTCTGCTCTCTCCTTTCTCACAACAGCAGCTCTTACAAAGAATGGAGACTAGGGTTTTTCCTTTTTTATCTATCCCAAGAAACAATCTCAACCGTTGATTTAGGAACTGGATCAACGGTGCACAAGCACTGGACTAGTGGGCTGTTTTTGCTGAGCTCAATTGCATCCTCCATGTGGAGAGACAGCCCAACACTGTTTTACTCTGAAGGAATAGATTGGGACCTCCACCGAATGCATAGCACCTTCAATCTAGCTAATGCCGAGGCTATCGCCAAAATCCGACTCACGATAAGAAGAACAGAGGATTTCCTTGCATGGCAACCATAGAAGTCTGGAATGTTTTCGGTGCAAAGCGCATATGACACAGCACTATGGTAACAAATCAGAGAGGCAAGCTCGGCGTTTAGAATCATACGGGTGATTTTGGCACATAATATGGAGCGCATTTAGAATCCTTCATTCATGAGCACTTTCTTTATATACCCTAAAAATCGGTAATGCTATGATTAGAGCGTCCGGACTGAGAATCTCTCCGAACGCTATGTGGTCTCACCGTGTCCACGTATTATCCACCGCAGGTGAAAATATTTGATACCTCCCCCTCAAGTGGCTACTCAGACTTATCTTCTTCCCTTCCATCTCGTCTCTCCCTCTCCTCCATATCTCCGTAAAAATCACAGAGCGCCACCGCTGCTTCCTTCCTCCACCTAAGTTGACCACGCCGTCTTCTCCCTCAGTTCGTGCACCGCCTCCCAAGCCTGTTCCCCATCCCCAGCGTCGACGGGATGCCTCGTCGCTGCGGGGAGACGCCGCTACCCCTAGCCGATGGCTGCTGGGCACACGGCCCAGGGCACCTCAGGTCGTCCCCGATCGAGCCAAGGTACCCACGAGCACCACAAGTGCTGGTGGTTCTCGCGCGCAGCCGCTCGCCACTGGCTCCTATCCCGACGGTCAGAATCGACCGGCCCGGCCTCTCCCTTCCCTATGTTGCAAAAGTGTCTTAGATGTTTAAGTGGTATGTTGCAAATATTTCATATGAATGTTGCAAAAGTAGATATGGATGTTACACATGTTGCAAGTGTTTCAGAGGTATGTTGCAAGGGTTTGTTGAAAATGTTTTATCTATTTTCAGTCTCTTATGTTGCAGCAAGTGTTTTCATATTGCAAGTTGCAAGTGTTTTATCTGAATGTTGTATATGTTTCACACATATGTTGCAAAGTGTATGTTTCAAATGTTACATCTGTTTCAGACGTATGTTGCATTTAAGTGTTTGATGTTCTTTGGAGAGTCACGGGGCTTGATGAGTGATGGACCCGCAGACAGGGGTGGGGTGCGTGTGCGAGGCGACGAACGGGGCCGTGCTGCACGGGCGACGGATGGGAGCGAGCTGCCCGAAAGCCCGTTTATTTCTTAGACTATCTCCAACAACAACACCCAAAATACAAGACACATTCAATATTTGGGTAGCGCTACAGCCAAAGGGTTCAATACCCATTCGATATCTTCTCTAATAACAGGACCCAAAAGAGAATCCTTTCTGCAAATGGGTTTTCAGGAGAGATGATACTTATATTTAGGTTTTGTCTTTCAGACAACCTAAAATAAGTCTTTCGTATAGATACTCTGTTGGAGACTAATTTTAGATGTTCTGCTACCCATTTTAGGTGAGGTGTATAGATACCCTGTTGGAAACGGTCTTACGCATGCGGCAGCCGTCCCGTACGTCCGGGCGCTACACTTCCTAAAAAGATTTCTCTCGATTCCATCCATAGTTCCTGCTGGAAAAGAAAAGGAAAAAGAGGAGCCGGCACTCCAATGGCAGGGGCCACCTTCAGCGTCAGGCATACCCTTGGCCACGCCGCGGCACCCATGACCCACCCACATCTTCCACGCCACCACGACTCCACGAGAGTGAGGAGGGTTTAGAAGAGAGGAGAGCAATTAACACTCCTCGGCTGTCGTCTCCCCCGAAACAGCAAAACCCACCCGCTCCCTCTCCTCTCGCAGCGCCGGCGGAAATCCCAAACCCTCGCGGCTGGAGCCTCGCAGGTGAGCCGCGGCGCCGATCCTCCTCCTCCTCTCCCGCCTTTCCCCCTACCTGCATTTCGTCGGGAGGCGGTTTCGATTTGTTTTCTCCGGGCGGAACCCAACTTTACGGCCCCCTTGTTTTCCCCCCTTTTCGTTCGTTGGGCGTGATTCTTTTTTCTTTTCTAAGATAAGAATCGCTTGTTCTGGGAGATGGATGGCTCCCTTACCTTTTTCCCCGAGCAATCAAACCTAGATTTTCCTCCGCGAGATGATAGATTTTTTTTTTTTGGATGCCCATGCCCAGCGTTAGGTCCGCCACTGGGCTCCAATTTTCGGTTCCGTAAGGGTTCCGCCATTATAGGTTTTGTAGAAATGTGTGTATTTAGATTAATCTCTTCGCTGCGAAGGAACACCCAATACGCACTTACTTTGTAGTTGCTGGTTTGGCGTTGGGCTGATCATGCTTGTTTTGTTTCACCTGGAATCAGTTGTTACTCCTGTTAGGTTAGGTTACCTTTGCCTTCAAGTTGTCTGCATCTGTCACGATAATCTCTGTTTGCACAGTGATGAATTTCGCATATTATTTTCTATACGTCTTAATTCTTTTGCTTTTCGTAGTTAACTACTTATACGAATATTTAATCAGGACTATTGTTCAATAGAATTTTCTTAATTATGTTGTTACATCACACTCTTATGCATGACTGCTCTGCTCTTGCCAGAATAAGAAATGGTTTTTGTAGATAGCAGCCCTTGTTTTTAGTTTGGTTCAGTATGGGTATTCTGTACTCACTGCATAAACAGATATTGTTTCCTTTGGGCTGATGCAGCCCTTAAGAGCTCAATTTCCTACCTTTTTCATCTGGCATCTGGGAACTGTGCGCTTGTCAATGCGCTAGACAGTTTCATGCAACAGAGTTCCCCATTTGCTTGGTACAACCATGTCTTAATGTCGTTGTTTCTTAGTTTTATCTTACACCTGAAATATTGAAGGAAATGGACATCATCATTATATCAACTAATGAAACACGTGACTTTGTTGCTCCACATGTGTGCACGTTAATTGCCATAGCTAAGTGTCGTTACCTTTAATTGTTCTCACAATTCATTCCTTCAGGTAGTGTTACTCTGTTGCTTTCAACTTCTAATTGTTCTAACAATTCAGTCCTTCAGGTTGTTACAAGTTACTCCCTTGCTTCATTGTATTCTTGGTTGTATTCTCCTTATTCAGTGGTTTTTGCCAGATAAGCATACCCTGGCAATGGGTGCTGCTGGCAATGGCAGCAACCCATACTGTTCACATGTTGGAGAAAGAGATGACAAAAGTAGTGACAAAAAATTAGGTCCAGATTTTACTGCAGCTGAAATGCAAGCGAGTCCTGTCAATGGTGATTTATCTTTGATTCGTGTGAAACTGGAGCAGTCATGGTTAAGTGTACAAGCATTCATTGCTGAGCATGTGACCCCTAAGGATATTGATTTGGCTTGGAGCGAGGAGGTTGTTGTTGGGCTGGATGGCTTCAGATATGTAGGCTGCAATGACCTAAGAGATGTTGCACTGAATAGCTTGCACATGTTCTTCAAGACTGCAGTTGATATCTTATCCTGTCAAGGGTACACTGAGGATGCTGTTGTAAATGCTGTCGTGGACTCTGCACTCTGTTATCAGTTTGATGGACCTATCACTAAGATCGCTGAGCATGCACGCACATTGCTACAGAGTGGCAACCATTTGGTTGATCGTTCCTACAGTGAGAATGTTGACACAGTTCTGCACATGTTGGGTTTGTATTTTCTTTGCAATGCATCAAGTTTGATGAAGAAATACTGTCCATTTTTCACCTTGGGAGATGCATTGTGGTGCATTCTGCTGTGTGACATGGATATATCTATTGCTCGTGCAGCTTTTGCTCCCATGAGTGGTTATGGGAATGGACAATCAGAAGGCTATGCTCATAGTCAGAGTGACTTATGTGAAGGTCGTGAGAGTGTAAATGAGTTATCAGAAGAATATAGTTGCAGTGCCACAGAATCGCCTGCACTATTCGAGCCACCTCAATCTGAAGCAATACAAATGACGTGGAGCAATTTTCTGACAAATTATATAGTTTCATTTCAAAAGTTTGGAGGGAAAAACCAAGATGCTCCTTCTGCTCAAGATGAAAATTCTCCTTCAGTGCCTAGGGCTGTTAACAAAAAGGAAACTAAAAGCAAGCGTAGTAAGACAAATTCCATTAAATCTCAGAAAGACTCAGGGAAGGATTTGGTAGTTTTCAAGAACATCCCACAAGTCAAGGGTATTATAAGTAAAACATCATTAAGAATGCTAAAGGAGAATAAAACATTAACGGCATTCCTTGCATCTGCTCATAGCACTTTGGCAGGCACTTCAGAGGTAGCCAGTGAAAAGGACTCACAAACATCCATGCTAGTTCCAACTAAACCTCGTTCTGGACCTTGCTCGGTCAAAAGAGGATATTCTCCAGCAGTGGTTTCAATTGGATCACTTTCTTATCCTCCTAGCTGTTCCTCCAACTCATCATCTAGTGCAATGGGCAAGGCAGAGCCTAGGCAGCGAATGGAACCTGATGTTGTACACTTCTCTCTCCCAAATACTCCTGCAGAGGGCTTTGAATTTCATTTCTCACGTGAAGGCTTGCAGACCACTTGGGTTCCAAAACATAGAAAAGAGGAGCTGGCTCTAAAACTAGTCCAGCGCTTGGGTGAGTTAAAGCTGGAGGTGCAAGTTTGGACAGATTGGGCTAATAAGAGGGTGATGCAGTCAACAAATAGGCTGGTAAATGAAAGGACTATACTTTTCTCTCTTAAAAAGGATAAGGCAGACTTTGAAGGGCCTGATGTGTTTACAAGGAAGAGGCTTGAGGAGACACAAAGGGCAATAGACAGTACTTCTTGTGAGCTTGATCGTGTTAATTCCCTTGTCCAGGAGCTTACAGATAAGATTTCGCTTTGTAGGCGTGAGAAGAAATCTGTCCAGCTACAGGGAGAGCAATCTGATGCAAGTTTGGCTAGCATTTTAAGCAAGAAAACTGAGGCCATGAACAGACTGAAGTCCATGGAGACAGAGAAGATCCTTTTGCAGGAGGAGATTGCTGCTGAAAGGAGTAAACTATCCAAGCTTCTGCAAAGTCTTGAGCAAGCTAGAAGACATGAAGACGTATTAACGGTATTCCAATTTGACCAACCTTGTGTCTTCAAATTGACCAAGCAGTTTATTTGTAATCAGTGCTTAATGGTCAAAAGTGTTAGATTTTTTTCTTTACTGCATGCTTTCTAAAATGACCAAGATTTCTGAACTGATGGGATAATTTTATTAACAATCCAACTGAATTTTCACTCACTAGAATCCTATTTAGTTTGATAGATTGGCTGTCTATTTTTTCAAAATATGTTGTGTTGAATGATTTTCTGCATATGAAATGTTTGCCCATTTATATCTACAATATAATATAATATATATGTATGTGTTTTGTTTGGTGATATCGTTTTCTGTCTGTAAAATGAATATTGACAGGAAACTACAATTATGTTTTTCCTAACTAACTTTGTTAACTTGTCTTACCAAACTCTATAGAAATGTGCATTTCCTCATTTGGGACCTCAGGATTGCCAGGTTCTATCTGTTTTGCTTTAGGATACAAAAATAATGACACACATACTATGGTCTTTGCTACCAATGTGCTTGAGATGTCACGTTTATCAACAACTACATAATAAATACATAATGTTCGTTCATTGATTATCTGGACCCTCTGGGCCTCACTTAGCTCTGCTCTCGGCATTATTACTTCTTGTGTCATCATGCTGGTCACACTTTCTGATTTCAACTGCCCAACACATGTTATGTGGACAATGATTGGATGATTACCAGCACTAACCTTTTGTTGACGCTTAGGTGAAAAATCTCAAAATTTGACATTACTTTGCTTGTACATAGTCTACCATAAGTTAATGCTGTTGCCAAGCTTTTTATTCATTTCCCTTAACTTGTTTATGTACCTGCCCAAAGACTGCTTTGTGACCTTTGGCCTTAAACACTGCAGAAAAGGTGCCAGGAAGGAGAGAAGATGATAGATGCACTTATGAAGCAGGTTAACTTTGAAAGAACTGAGCTTGAGAGGATTTTGACATCAGGAAGAGCAAAGTCTAGCCATCTGTTGCTGAAAGCGCACAACGACCAGGAATGGCTGCAGACCAGTATCAAGAATCTGACACAGCAGATAGCTGAAATGTCTAGCAGAAACAAGCCTCTGAGCATCACAAACTTCATGGGTCGTCCAGGTTTTGTGATCGATTCTGTACAGCGGGAGCAAGAATGCGCCATGTGCTTGGAAGAGGAGGTTTCAGTGGTTTTCCTCCCATGCGGGCATCAGGTTGTTTGTGCAGGCTGCAACCAACGCCATCGAGATGGGGGCATGACCGAATGCCCATCCTGCAGATCTCCCATAAAGCGTAGGATCTGTGCTCGCTTTCCCGACAGTTAAGGTGGATGTAAATCCTGGAAGAATCATAGGAAACTTTTTGCCTTTGTTTAGAATAACCATTGTCCAAAACCGAATTGGAGCCAAAGAGCAGTGCAGCTGCGTTTCTCGTCTTTTGAGTCTTGACCTCGGTTGCTTTTGGGGGAAAATACAGTTGGAAACGATGCTCGTTCTGCAATGCTAGTTTTAAGTAGGATCGGAATGCTACCATATATATGTTAGCTTGGTTGAAAAAAAACTTCTATGCTATATGTAAGTATGACGTGGAATGTCGGAGGAAGCACATTGGTAATAGGGGAGATATCAGGTGCGGAAAACCCAATATATGTGTGTGTGCTATGTGTGATGGCTTGCTGTTTCTGTTCCCACATCATATGCTAGTCTGATGTGGGTGAGGTTATCTTCACATATCTTCTCGCGAGTTGACATTTGCATTATTACTGGTGAGGTGCAGCGAGAAGCTGGTGCTGAAACTTTCCAGGGATTGCTGTTCTCATGGTGGTCCTCCGTCTAAAACATTTGATCAAAGAGTGCAAGAAGAATTTTAAACGACGTGGTACTCTTAAGATGGCAGTCTATCGATTGATGATGATCACAAATATATGTGAATTAGTTGTTACCATGCATGAAGTTGAGGTACTATTCTGTTTAAAAAAAGCAGCAGGTCTGAACTCTGAAGTTGAGATAGTTAAAACTAACTAATGTTTTAGTTGTGTCCTGCCCATCAATTCAGATAGCTGGCTAAGTTACAAATGTTTAGTTCAGTGTAGATGACCGAGTGAAGTACATCTTGTGTTCAACATAAGCACCGCTAAAAGTTTCGCAAACCTATGGTATGCGGGCCAGTTCTCGGTAAATAGTATTCACATGTATGATCCAGAATTAATTTATTATGAAAATATATTTTATAATTAATCTAATGATATTTATTTGATATTATAAATATTTATATTTTTTATTTATAATTGGTTAAATTTGGTATACTAAAATATGATGCTGTTTTAGAATTGTATTCTTTTAGTAACAGAGGGAGTAATAGAAAGTAACCAAGAAGATTGGTTGAAGAAGATTGTTTGTGATAGCAAATTAATTGGTTGCAAATCCAGTATTTGTGTGGCGGAACCGTCTAATTTAATGTCTCTCATTTTGTACTTGTCTTCCATTAGACACTAAATACCTAAGAGAGGACACTAAACCACGCGGTTCCGTCGAGCACACCCTAAGAAAGAACTTGAAAATCCACATTTTTCCATCAGGATCATAAATGAGAGAATAAAACTTACAACATTCTTAAGTTATTTCTTACATCACTTTATTACAGTACTAGGATAATACCTCAATTTATTATAATAGCGGAATATAACAATATTATCAGAATTACAGAAAACAGGATTAATTTAATAACATGGTGTAATATTAACATAGCGGACATTTATATACAAGAGATGCTAACAGATTTTACATATTTTCTTATAAAAACCTTTCATGAGGGTTATAAATAAACACTACGGCCGTAGCGCGAACGGAATCCCTGCTGAGCCCACCAAGAGGTTTCCCCACACAAGAGTCAGCTCTAAGTATCCCCCGATCACCTGCAACGGGGGGATAAAACCCTGAGTACTCGAATGTACTCAGCAAGACTTACCCGACATGAGAAAAATAAAAGACTCCAAAGATATGCAAGGCTATCTGACTTGTGAGTTATTACATCTACGGAAGCATTACTAAACGTGCATCCTTATATTCAATTTCATTAGCAGTCATCATTAGTTCATTAACTAACCATTCTATGTAAGCACATGTGCTACTTTCAAGCAGTGGTAAGCAATCAGAACCATTTTACCATATTTCATATTCCAGTTCTTACTACGGTACTAGACTATAGCCAAGTCGTACCGTATCACACGGCGATTCACGAACCAATGTATCCTAGCTGGGTATCCCAAAACACACGTCATGTTTGTACCTCAGGTACAAGCAAGACCAACCCATCACTCTCCTGTCAAGGGGTCTAGGTCCCCGTCCAAACATAGACTCCGAGCCCCCACTCCTGAGTCCCGGACTCAGTGTGGTGCTTAGACCTCCACCATCCCCGCCTCCAATCCGTCGGTCCGGAAAGAGCCGAAACCCACGACAAGATAGCAACGAGCCTTCCCGCTCCCATAAGCAAGTATGTGCTCAGGATAATAAGTCTGTGATCTAACTACCATCCATAGCAACGGACGGTCCTCAATCGACACAGGCGGAACAAGTGCAATCCGAGCCTCACTCAAATGCCTAACAAAGTCCAGATCCAAGGTACCATTCCGCCCAGTCTCCAATTATCATTCATATATATTCCATGTGACAGTAATATCATAACAACAATAATATCTTTCCTATCTATCGTGAGTGTCTGGTAATCATTCGATTTCTACCGGATCCTATAGCATAGCAATCTATACGATCCTGACATAATAGTAGTACTCATAGGATAATGATATATATATATGCAAGTGGTTTTCATTCAACTTCTAAAACTTAATGTACAAGCATAAGATAAAGTGTAGAATAATAGGGGTTATGCACTGTGGCTTGTCTGGGTAAGATATAACTAAAAGTTAGCATTCCCTCATGGTGACACGATCATCAAGGCATCATCTTTTCCGCTACTGCAGTCGACTCCATGATCCATCGTTGTTCCTATTATGATATACGTGGATATAACACAGAGACGCAATTAATCAACGGTAACCGCAACTCTTAAATATACGATTACGTTCTGCAAGCTAACGAGCTAGATTTAATGACTAACGTACTGGTCTACGTATCCACTTCGTCAAGTAAGGCTTCGTTTTCCAACAGGTGTTTTAGTCCTAAACTCTTAAGTTGTTTCAGCATTTTATTGTTTAAACATATATTTTCGAACTAGGCTAATTTAGTTATCTTAGCAAACTAATTATTATGGATCTACAAAAATTACAGTGAACACCTAATAATATTAGAAATTTACTGTTTCAGAGCCAACACTATCACCAATTTATCACAACAATTCCTACAAGTTTATATTTTGACAATATTAAGTATCTCAATTTAATTATATAACTCCTAAGAATATTATAAAACTATGTGAACCAAATATACTAGCAGATAGATCATGATTTTAGAAACCTAACAAAATTAGTTTCATAATTTTTGGTTAACTACATAATTTTATACTGAATTTATAAGTTTACCTTAGAAACTAAATTAGAAAATGCATAGAAAAGGAAAAGGGCCGGTGGCGACCATTCGGCCCCGCAGCCCAGCGCGGCGCAGCTGCGCGCGCGTCGCGGCGGCCCAGCAACGGCCCAAGGCCGAGGACGCCCGTGCGCGACGGCGGCTTTGCAGAAAAGGGCTCGGGTTTTTTTGGATAATCACGTGGAGCAACGGAGCAATATTACTATAGACTCACGCTTTGCATTAAAGACCCTGGAATGTGTTGCCTTTGCAACGGGGTGGTCCTCAGCGCACCCGCGCGTGGTGGCGCGGCACACCGGCGGCAACAGCGGTTACGCCGGGCAAACTGGGCTCGATACGACGGAAGTAAGTGGCCGACCACCATCTATAGCAAAACACGCAAGGATGTTCGGCGGTTAGGGACTCGGAGGCGCACTATCGCGGGCTGCAGCAGCGAGCGGCGATCCGCGGTGGTGACGCGATTGTTCCGGTGAGTCTACGCCCTCACGGAAAGGTAGAGATGGCAGAGGAGCATCAGTAGCTCACCGTGGTGCACGCCCTACTAACGCTTGAAGCTGGGGAGCGCTGCGGCGGTCTAGCCATTTGCGACCGAGCAGGGCGGTGGCGCTCTACAAAGGACACCGGCGTGTCACCCCCACCGACGACGAGCACCCTGGGCAAAACAGTGCGAGCACCGAATAGGGGGGGTCAAGGAGAGCTTAGGGTTACGAGCAATTGAACTGCTACCACTCCTACGCGCCTTACCCCCAACCCTCTGATCACGGCAGCGCGCATGACCGGCGGCGAGGAGAGACCAATATTAACCACCGGTCGACCAAGGCTGGGCTCGATGAGAACACGACAGCTAGCTAACTTGCTAAGTTACTCACCGGTACGAGGAATTGGACTAGGAGGCCTTGAGCTGGTGATTGGAAGAAGAAGGAACGATGGCTCTGCGCTCAGTGCGGTTGTGGGGAGATCACACGAATGAGCTCGAGCGGATTAAGATAAGGTGGCCCCGATTGATGGCAGAAGTATGAGCATACGTGCACGGATGACACGACCAAGAGACTCGGCACGATGCTCTTGAATTGGAGCGGTCCCACTCGAGCAGGGAGCTCCCATGGTGGCTAGCGAGTCAGGGCGAGCAGAGAGGCGTCACCGTCATCCAGTGACTGGGGTTGGTTGACCCAGGCACGGTGGGCAGCGGCACATGCTCAGAGACTCGACGCGGTAGGTAAAATGAAGGGCGAGGCGAGCGCCATGTCTACAAGGCGGCGACAGCCACAGCTCCGTCTCGACCACGCGCGCAGCTCGGCGGCTGGATGATGGCGCGCGCACACCGTGGTAGTGGAACCAGACCGAAGCCAGCCGGGTCAGCCAACACAAGGCCAGGGCGCAGCGTGGCATCGGCCTGGCGCACGAGCTAGACAGCGATCGTAGCTTGGTCGCGACACGAGCACAGCGCCACAGCGTTGTGCCCGCGGTGACCGTGACCGAGCGACTGCTATTGGTGATGTGCACGCATTTTAAAGTGAGATGAAAACTACCAACGATTACAATTGAGGCCCAACTAATCCCCTTATCCTAAAGTCAAGATGACCAGTGACCTAGCAAAGCCATTGACATGGCCTGAGAGCAACCAGAGAGGAGGACAGAAGGATGCCAACATGAGCTCGTCACGCTGAATGCCGGTTCACGAACGAAGCCCGACACAACACTGACAACGTGTTCTAGTGAAGTTAAGGCAATTTTAGAGTGGACAACGTGACATCCAACACAATGTCGACCTATACCATGCTCAAGCACTCACTTTGATGCAATCAACAATACCAAAACATGCAACTAGTGTTTAAATATTTTTGTTAGAAATTAAATGCTAAAATAGCATTATCTTACTACTTTTCTATACTTAGAAAAGTTAATGTCTCAATTCAAACTAACAGTCATTAACACTTTTGTTACAATTTTTAAAAGGCCTAAACCCTATTAACTGCTACCAACAAGTATTTCATGCGATAGTACATACCTTACACTAATCTGTAGGAGCAAAATATTTAAGCACCATTTAACTATTTTGCTCAATATAATTCGCCAAAAATAATATTTTAACAATAGTTCACGTGTTTGTCGACTTAACGAAAAGAGCTTATCTTAATGTCAAATTTATTTTTGAGCTCCCAAAACACTAGTTAACAACATCTATTTTCCAAAAGTTAAAGTTGCATTGTCATCTACAAAGTTTATACTTCCAACTTTATTTAAGTATCACACACATGTTCTATAGTATTTTTGTTTAATAAAAATTGGTTTTCAACCTTAAGTGATATAACATGACTATTGAATCCTTTTTATGTATCATTTGTGTTAATCATTTTTCATGCCAAGAAATTTATTTTTACACCTCCTCTCATGCATTATCACAAAAATATGATGCATCATGACATGATTTAGTAGTTGGTTTAGGACGTAACACCGAGGGTGTTACAATTTGATAGCTTGTGGTGACATCTTTTAGCAAAAAACCACAGCGAATTTTTCTCCCATTTATTTAGTAACGATACAACGCAGTCCGAATTTGAATTGTCACAGCGACTGACATAATCTTAGTGAGTTCTAATTTACTACTAGAACTAAGGATGAAAATGGACGGAAACAGACGAAAATAGCTCTACCGTTTTCATTTTCATAATTTTTGACGACAACTGGGAGCGGAAACGGTAGCGGGATAAACGGTAATGCGAAAATGGATAAATAGGATCGAAAAATAGACGGAAACGAACGGCATGTGAGAACTTAAACCGGAACTACATGCCACATATGACAAACCAAAGGGCTTGCTACGGTACTCCCAAATAAATGTGAACTGTCGATTTAGATAATTTTTATTGCATATTAACTTCTAGGAGGTAATATAATGAAGAAAGGTATATATTAGCAAAATAGGTAAAATATGTTCCAATTAGATCTAATTTCCATATCCTATTAGATCTAACTTGCATGCATGATGTAAATTGTTGCTATGTTTGTGATAAAGTGACATATCATGCTAAGATGATTTTTAAACATTTTTTGTAACATTTTTTTCAGATACGTTTGTGTTTACGTCACTTGCTAAAATACACGTGTATATCCATGCTTAATCTTTTTGTGCTTAACCCTTTTATGGTAGGCAGCTTTCACGCATAGCACATAGAAAAAAGAGACATTTGACACATGTTTTTGCGTAACATATACATATATACATACATGTACCCGACTCTTTTTTTAAAAATACATACATGTACGAGTTACGAGTAATGTTACGTTCTGCATGCAGCCAAATAGCGCAGAAGCAAGTCTGGCTGACCGCCCGCTTATGGGACAGCTCGGCTCAACACCCTCTGCGCTTTGTTCCGGTGAATGTATAAACCGGATGAAAACAGAAATATCCCGATCAAAAATGGGAAACCGGCAATACGGACGGAAAAACGCTCAACCATTTTCGGTCCCGATCCCGACGTATCCTGTCCCGTTTTCGGTCCATTTCCGTTTATCCCGCGGAAAACGAAAATGGGTGAAAAAATACGGTATACGGTTGCGAACGGCCCGTCCATTTTCATCTTTTAACTAGAACGGATGGAGTATACGTTTTTGTTGTTGATTGATTACCCTGTCATAATGCAACGCAATCACAGGATCGAGAAATAGACGGCTGAGATTCACCGAGCCGCCGCTTCGGTTCCCCCTCTAAAACCCTAGAAATCAGCCTCCCCGTTCCACTTCCCGCCGTCCTCGCCCGCGCCAGTTCCCCGCTCTCCTCCGTCCTCCCCCACCCCCTTCCCCGCCGCCATGGGCCGCAATCTCGACACCGAGCAAGCGGAAGCACCCAGGAGCAGCAAGAAGGAGAAGAAGAGCAAGAATGACAAGAAGCGGAAGCTGGCAGCCGAGGCCGAAGCCGAGGCGGCGGCGGCGGCGACAGAGGAGGCTGTCAAGAGCAGCAAGAAGAAGAAGCGGGTGGAGAATGGACCCGGCGCAGGAGGAGGAGGGGAGGCGGAGAACGGCGCTGAGAAGGCCGTGGCGGTGACCGGGAAGGGCTCCGAGGACCCCAAGTACGCGCCGCTTCGGTCGTTCTCCGCTGCCGAGCTGCCGTCCCAGGTGCTCGAATGCTGTAGCGCGTTCGCGCGGCCGTCACCCATCCAGGCACACGCCTGGCCGTTCCTCCTCGACGGCCGCGACTTTATCGGCATCGCCGCCACCGGATCCGGTACGGCAAAATTATTTGATTTCTGCTTTCCGTTTGGTCATTCCTTTGCCTACCCGTGTTCAAATTTGTGATAGTCTTGTTATCACGTCATTTGGGTACTGCCAGGGAAGACAATTGCCTTTGGCGTGCCGGCGCTGATGCACATCAGGAAGAAGGTAGGGGGGAAATCAGGGAAGAAGAAGGCCGTGCCACGGTGCCTTGTGCTATCACCAACGAGGGAGCTCGCTCAGCAGGTAAGCCAGTGAACGTTGCTTTTTTAATTACAATACTCGAGCATGTCATGCAAATTTTTGGTAAATGCTGGTTGATTGCTGTGGTGTTAAATAAGTTACTTTAGGTCTTTAGCTTCATTTTTCAAGCAGAACAAGGATTGTACACTAAAGATAACATGGGTAACTTACATTACATATGCTTCTACTATGTGGCACCCAATAAGCTGTATCACTGTTCGTGCTGCTAACTTATTGAATGATGAATCTTTGAAGCTTTTCTTATTTGACAATCTTTTCTGTAATAATCATTACTTACCATCACACCCAGTTGGTTTTTGAGCTTCTGCTGCCGTTTGAAATTTGTAGCCTGATTTTTCCAAGAAGATTCTGGCATCGATAGCCATTCTTTTTCTTGGGAAAGAGGGGCATAATAATTCTTTTACCCTTTTCTACAAAAATGCACGTGTCATATCCTGTTTGGTGCGTGGGATAATGGAAAAACTATTCATATTAATATGTAGGCTTGATCGTGAACACAAACAATATGGTTGAATGTGAACGTACAAGAATGATTTACACATTTCTGTATTGTGCCAGATTGCAGATGTACTAAGTGAGGCTGGTGCACCATGTGGGATAAAATCAGTTTGCCTTTATGGTGGAACTAAAAGGAACCCCAAATATCTGCCCTTAAATCTGGAGTGGTAAGATAACACCGATTTCTTTTTTTTCTTTCTCAGCCATGGTTCATATAATTGTATTGAATACTGATTAAATTCTGAGCTTCTGATATCGTTGCATACCAAATCATTACGGTAGCACATTCTTTTTCATGGATTTCACTTAATGGAAACTCGAAATGCTTCTTTACTATATAGTTCATACAACTATTCCTTGGCATGTCAGTATTTGACAGTTAACTTGTGTAAGTAAAAACATGTTGTTGCCTAACCCTCTATTCATTTTTTTTGGGGGTTTTGTGCTTGCAGGATATAGTCATAGGAACTCCTGGTCGTATGAAAGACCTTATTGAAATGGGTGTTTGCTGTCTTAATGAGGTTTCGTTTGTGGTAAGCCAGTTGTGCCTTCCTTTTTGCTATTCTTGTTGTCTATGAAGTGTGGTGTGCATGGTATATATATTCTCTCAGTCACAATGCAGTGTTCTGGACAGCAACAGGGTCACCAAGTTGCAACTTTGATTACTAATTCACCATCCCTTGGTTCTCTTGTATTTGATATTCTAAATTCGAGCAAGTTAGACTTTTTCATGTTTGGCATGATATGCTAAAACTATGTAGATTGTCTGTATGAAAGGTACACCACTTGTTTTGTAGTGAAAAGTAGTTCCATAGTTTATAGTGTGTGTTGGGTGTGTCTGGGAGTGGGCATTTTGCCTGTACAGCTTATAGTTTTTATCTTAATGAATGACATGCAGCTCTTCTGTGTTATTGAGAAAAAAACTACTACTTCCATCCCAAAATAAGTGACGTTTTGACTTCAAGACGTCTTGTTTGACCATTAAATCTTATTCAAAAGTTTGTATAAATATTATTTATTTTGTTATGACTTATTCTATCATTAGAGATACTTTAATACTGACTTATTTATTTTATTATTTACACAAAAAAATGAATAAGACGAACGGTCAAACAAGAAGTGTAAAAGTCAAAATCGTCACTTATTTTGGGACGGAGGGAGTAGGCATTAATACTAAATCGATGAAAAGGACGTTTGGAGTGACATCTTGGACACACAGTGATTGTGGGAAGTAAAGACCATTTTGAGAGTACTTTCTGAGACAAATCTACAAGTTTTGTTTTCATGTCTAATCTAAACATATAACTTATAATAATATAGGTGAATTTAAAAAGTTGATTGCATGCCCCTTGAAACTCCCTTATGTAATACTCGTTTCCTGTCTTGTTTTGTATTTTCTTCCTGCTCTTATCCCATCCTTCTCGTTGCACCCTTTATATTCTGCAGGGTGTGTATGTTTTTTTCTTAATATAATGATGGGAGATTGTACTGCCAAATAGTACTCACCAAAGATTACTTACTGTTCATTTGTGTTATTGCAAAGCGGCAGTAGCTTTCCTGAAAGATTAGAAGCACAAGATGTGCATATCCAGAAAAACAAGTGTACCATTTGGCTTTAGATTGCTTATGAATGTGCATGTTCTGGTTGCTTGTTGTATCAAATATATTTTGTGTGGAACATTGTTGTTAACAGTACCATACAATTTTCAATTGGAGGTTGTCGCTCCATTGAAATTATTTATATGGTTCGCGAGATGACTAAAAAAAATTGATACGGGGAACCGTCCACTGAGAATGGTACATGGCACTTCGATTTGCCTTCTACCTGGGTATGGCATCCTAATTCCAATCAGCTAACTGTGAAGCTTGGTACACACTCTTGAGATCATTTGATGCTTCATTTTAAATCTCAAGGAAATTACCTGATAGACTTTGATAAGCAGTAACAATTAGTTGAACATGGCACTTCCCGCAGCCATGGAATCCAATCTTCCTTACATTATACCTCCTTTTGTTTTGTCTGTGTAGCCTGTTACACACTCATAGTGTCATTTGGTGCTTCGTTTTAAATCAAAGGAAATTACCTGGTAGAATTAATACTAATAATAGTAACGAATTAGTTGAATGTAGCATTTCCCACAGCCATTCATCCCAATCTTCCTTACCTTATCCCTCTCTTTCTGTTCTGTTCAGGGATTTAGGTCTAAGAACCTGCTGTCAAGATAATAAGATAGTAGTAAAATGGATTAGCATATTCTCTGGCATCAATCACCTCAAATGTTTCTTGGGACTACTGCTGTGCTTACACTTTCATGGTTATGCTTTAATAATTAATTATTGTGTTCCCTGTTGTTGATGGACTTATTATGGTGTGATAAATATTCTTACTGTTTTTTTTTTGCATAGGTTCTAGATGAAGCAGATAGGATGCTGGATATGGGTTTTGAACCTGAAGTCAGGGCAATTTTGAGCCAAACATCATCTGGTTTGTATCCATTGCTTTCTCTTCCCTCTACCAATGCCCGTGTCAGTGTGTTCACACCTGTTTAGGAAGAAGCAACAATATATATATATTTTACCAGAATAGAGTGAAAATCAACATTCAGATTAGGATTCTTTGTACTGTGATTATGAGGTTTTAGTGGATTTTAAAGCTGTCAAGGCTCTTGGTGTCACTATTTTTTTTTCACTATGTGCTTACTACAAAGTATAAATCTTACTGTTGATGCTATGTAATGTGATCTGCGCAACTTGGATGGTGTCATAGTTATTTGAACAGCACCTTCTATTTTAACTTATTTGTGTTATCATATGAATATGTCCTTTTTCTGCATTTCTCTGCTGCATCCTTGACCCCAACCCTTCAGTTCTCTATAGGATGACGCATATTAGCCCAGGAGTTTATGTTATTTCTTATTTGTGTTATTTCTCATGCAGTACGTCAGATGGTTATGTTCAGTGCAACTTGGCCTCTTGCTGTCCACAAATTAGCCCAGGAGTTTATGGATCCAAATCCAATTAAGGTTGTGTTGTTTTTGTCTGTTTTTTTTTTTTTTTTTGCTTTCAAACAAGTACCTGGGCTGACAGTCTTTTCAATGTCTCACTGCAGGTTGTTATTGGATCAGAAGATCTTGCTGCTAACCATGACGTGATGCAAATTATTGAAGTATTGGATGATAGAACACGAGATTCAAGATTACTTGCCTTGCTTGACAAATACCATCAAGCACAAAGGTAGATATCAGTTAGATTTCACTTTCTGCTGTATTTAAGATTCATTTCCTTAAGGCACTGATTCCCGTTGGCACACTGGAAGCTAAGCATTTGGGTAGGTAATAGACTAATGCTCAAGCAAATATATATGAAACTTGATTATATGATTTTTTGATCGTATGGAATTTGGTTAGAAATGGTGAAATTGGTGGTCTGCTTGAAACTCATCAATATAATTAGGCGGTTCCAAGATTTGTTTGAATAGAACAAAACTAAATAATTTTTTTTATGAAAGTGCCTCAGTAGGATTAGAACTAATTCACAAGTGTAAATTATGAAAATATTATTGCAATTTGTAGTTGCAGAAAACATCCAGGTAGCTTTGGCCTTTGGATGTGTCACAAGTGTCTCGGCACAACTGCAGGTTTATGTAGAGAATTCCTTATTTGACATCTTTGGGAAAATGAGTCGTTCCTTTCTTGGCCTTGAAATTTTCTTACGTTCCCTATTTGACACTCACTTCAATTTTCATCCCTAATTTGGCACTGTTACCGTCAAATCCGTTAGCTAAAAGCTGCTGAACAAATTTGAGAGGTTAAAAGACATTTTTTTTGCCCCTAGAATCGAAGCGGCGAAACAAATTTGAGAGGAAAAAAAAAACTTCGCCGCTTTTTTTTTCTGGGCGTAAAACGCATCGAACAGCCGCGGTTTTTCCTCTCAAATTAAACGGATTTGACGGTAGTGTCAAATTAGGGATGAAAGTTGAAGTGAGTGTCAAATAGGGAACGAAGAAAATTTCAGGGCCAAGAAAGGAACGACTCATTTTCCCAGTGTCAAATAAGGAATTCTCTCTTTTATGTACCTTAAGTTCTCCAGGAGCCTACTTGATCTGATATGCTGGTCCTACTTGAATCATGCCAATGGCTCACTTGAGAGTGGCTTGCATTGGAATCAACATGTCAGGATTGGGGCAAGTTGTGGTTTTGTGGAACTGAACATTAAACATGAAGTTACATACTTACATAGTTACATGTGACAAGCATTGATACCAATGATTTTCTGTGCCTATAATACAAGTTTTCTCACGGTGTTGCTACAGAAGATCACAAATGTTTTTATTTGATATCCATATCGACAAACAGTTGTGGACTTGTGGTACCTCAATCTTTGCCCGTCTGCCTTGCTTCATCTACATTAGCATCCAAAAATTGATGGCCATCATTGCTGCTTCCTCTAGATTTGCATCCTAGATCTTGGAAACACTACTGGTTGATGCGTGTGGCAATGTTTCCTATTCCCATTAACTACCTACCAATGCCAAACATTGCTTTGTACCGCTCAGAACTAAAGGCTATTTGGAGAAACACACTTGGCGATTTGATTATAGCCACTCGAATATGTTACACATACATGTACAATCCCTGTCACTGACATGGTTCTGTTCTGCTGACACTGACATAGTACAATCCCTGTCACTGTCCTGAATCCTGATATGATCTTTTCAAGCCACCTCATCCTTTCCATGCATCATGCCTAACATATCAGAGCAATGTTATTCAATGCCTTTTCTTTTCATTATTTGCAGGTTAAATTATAGCATATCTTAGATAGGATATTTTGTTTTCCATATTACTCTACCAATCTTTGCATTAGCTGTGTTCTATCATTGCCCCCTAAAACCCTTTTTTTACACAAAAGAAGTTCTAATGGCGATCTTATTTTATCCTTGGAGCCATATAGTTATTAATACTCATCTTAGGAAGTTGTACTTGTGTTCAATGCAACAGCAACAGGGTTTTGGTTTTTGTGCTGTACAAGAAAGAAGCTGCACGAGTGGAAACAATGCTTCAGAGAAGGTAGCAGATTTGTTTTCATTTCTTCAATTTAATCTCTGAACAATATTTTTCTCCATATTTTTAATCTGTATATGTTCTGAAGGGGATGGAAGGCTGTTTCAGTCCATGGAGACAAGGCTCAGCATGATAGAACAAAAGCTTTATCTTTATTTAAAGAAGGGAAATGCCCTTTAATGGTGTGTTTTTTCTATCACTTCTGTATAATACTATAATTTATTCAGGTCTGATAGTCCAATTGTAGATATGTATGGACTTTGCTTTTTAGATTTGGTTTGCTGTTTACTTTATGAGCTAAACCTGAAGACATCTGAGGCATTTTTTGTTTCTTTTCCCAACCTTGCCCACAGACACACCAGCTTTGCTAGGCAAGATTTGGCAAGGCAAATCTTGCTAGTGGAGGAAATGCATGCTTAGTAGGGTAATAGGATGTACCAATGGGATTCATGACTGAATATTGCGCTGTGATTCTGTGGTTGAAAGTTTAGAGCAGCTAGTTATGCTACCTTGTAATCCAATTTAATGAAATCTAGGTGTTTTATTTAGTGATTCAAAACATTGAAGAAACATCGGTAAAACCATTGTACTTTTCTTTTGTGACGTGGTGAATCTTAGGCCAATGAAAACATTTTTGCAAGAATGCAGATTCTTCAAAATATCTATTGCACTCTGAAATCACGTGGAATATTTGAGGGTTTCTGGTTTTTTGTGTTTGTTTTTTGCGTTGCTCTAAACATTTTTTTTGTGTTTTTTTTTTGCGTCTATGGAAGGGCGGGCCTGGTGCAAGCGGTAGAGTCTTACCGCCTGTGACCGGAAGGTCCTGGGTTTGAGTCGCGGTCTCCTCGCATTGCACAGGTGAGGTGAGGGTAAGGCTTGCGACTGACACCCTTCCCCAGACCCCACACAGAGCGGGAGCTCTCTGCACTGGGTACGCCCCTTTTTTTTTTTCGTCTATGACTATTCAAGTTTTGATCTTAGGACCATTTATCTTGCATTTAACATCATTCTGCCAAGCTCTCTTATTTGTGTTTCTAGTTTAGACGACAATGCTATTGTTTGTTTCATTTTGCACTCTTTTTTTTGTAATACATGCAGATTGCTACAGATGTCGCTTCACGTGGACTTGATATTCCTGATGTTGAAGTTGTCATTAACTATAGTTATCCTTTGACCACTGAGGATTACGTCCACAGGATAGGAAGGACTGGTCGTGCTGGCAAGAAGGGTGTTGCACATACCTTTTTCACTCAAGTGAACAAGGTACTTGAGTCATTAAGTCATTATACCCTTTTTGCACTTGATGCCTTCAGTTGTTGATGTTATGTTAATTTACAGGCACTTGCTGGTGAACTTGTGAATGTTTTGCGGGAGGCTGATCAGGTTGTTCCTCCAGCCCTTATGAAATTTGGCACACATGTCAAGAAAAAGGTTTGTATTTAGCTGTTTTTTTGTCTGAAATTATCTTCTGTTCATATGTCTAGTCCAAATTTGTCCGTATCTGATTGTCTGATTGTGTAGGTATGGATGTCTAGCAAGTAGCAACATCAGTAAGAGTACAGAAAGAAATACATGTGAAAATGCACGTAGTCAGAGAATGCATTCTCAAGAAATCACTTTGATGAAATTGTCCTGTCTAGTTTTAGAGCCTTTTTGTTGTTGCAAATGTACTGCAAATGTGTGGAAATTGGTGGTCGCATTTTCTAAAATATGCTTAAGATGCTCTTTAAAACAAAGACAAAAACTATTAGGGAGAAGGGATATAAATTATTCTCTCTCTAAATTGAAGAACTAACCTGGCTTCCTGACTCACATGAAAAATAGTAAAATACAAATACATACTTGTGAAATGACTGTCCATAGCCCTACTAAATAACATGATACAACCATTTTTGTTCTTTCAATGCATTAGGTTTTGGGAGTGGAATATTTGCAATAGATACACTATTGTTTTTTCTCATTTGCCGAACGTTGTGAAACTTAATTCTACTATGACCATGGACAAACGTAGAGAATCTCAGGGATTAGTAAATTGTGATTCTGCAGCCTGCACAGTTCACCAAGTTTTTTTTTTGTTTTTTTTTGCATCTTGCGAATGCATTTGAATTTCACCTTTTTTTTGCGTCACCGAGCAAGTGAACATGGCTCAATCTTGGACCTTTTTTTCGAATTTTGTTTCTAACTTAAACGCCTGGGTCTCATAGGACTCTTAGCACATCTCAATTTTGATAGAACATGCCCTGCCATTTTTGAAATATCAGACGGTCTATTTGCTTCCCTATGAAAATGTCAATTACTGGATAAGGATATTTGTAATGACAGAAAACTAGAAATCATAACACTTGTGTACATCATATAAAAAATATGAAGGTCTTGGTTGGTTCATGGACATTTTAAGTTTTCAGCATCAAAATTCGCTATGTATATTAATGAAAAGATTCATGTATGTGATATCATGCAACATACATAACTCTTTCTGTCCAAAATGATGTGGCGGGTGAGTTTCTTAGTATCATGGTATTTAGAGACCACTTTTTGTAACTATAACTATAATTCATGTGGTACTAATATTAAACGTCCATAGACAGCAAAGGTGTGTTAAACATATACTCTGGTTGTTCTGTAAGATCTCTTTGTTCAAAATTCATGTCTCTAGATAGAGCTAGATGCATATAAAATGGAAGTTGGGGTCCTGCTATGGGGAGCCAAGATCTAGTCTGTGTGGACAGCAGGGACTGATGATGCTACCTTGAAGAGTCCGGTCACAGTACAACTTAGGCAACCACAACCATGGGGATGGGGTGCATGCAAAAACAAAGATTTTGTATGTTGGAAACATATTTTCCATTGTTTCCATCTTGTGGACATGGAAGCGCACTAGTAGAAAGAGAAGAGAGAGAGTGGGAATGCAGATTGCAAAATTTTGGTTCTGTGAATGTTTGAGAGCTTACTACTTGACTCTTTTTTTAAAAAAAATCGAGCCTCATTGCTACTGACACAGTACAAATGAAAAAGAACACTGCACGAGATGAAAAGGAGTACTAGGGTGGGTGGACTTTCCAGATACTCTGAAAGGGCTGTAGTTTCAGTGATACTAATAGTTTTCAGAACTATATGTTTTCTTATATCCAGATGCATCTTAATCTAAGTAAACATTTATTTCTAGAACTCTAGTATCATCTGTTGATTTAAAATTATAAAAGCTGTTATCCTAAAAAGCCCTATAGTTTAGACAGAGAATGCTTTTCAGAACTGTAAATGCTAGTAAAGGCTCGATTTACTACAATCGAACAGAATAAACATTGAAGTAGTTTGCATAAGGGTGATTTATGATAAATGGCCTTTAATTTATCGGCTGCCATTTTTTTTGCAGGAATCTAAGATATATGGATCTCATTTCAAGGAAATCACAGCAGATGCTCCTAAACCCACGAAGATCACATTTGGTGATTCTGATGAGGACTGATATAATGACAGCTTACTTTTTTTTCATCCCTGCTTATGGAAGCTTGATTTCTTGGTTGATGATGCTATGGATATAATCAGATCAGTCATTTGGAAGCTGATTGCTGCTACAGATGGGCAATCCCAAAATATAGCGCTCATGTTTTAGGTTAGTTTATTATTTATTATGAGCAGCATTCGGCTTATGTTTTTCTGGGCCGTCAGCATTAGCACTAGCTTGGCTGTGTGTACCATAATTAGCAGCATTCTGCTTATTATGAGCTGCATTCTCGTGGAGAGTAGTTAAATTCAATGTGTCTTTAGTACATGCAGCTTGGTTATGGTAATGATGGGCTGGTTATAGGAAAAAACAATATGGTTTTCCTTGTTATAGTAAAAAAAAAGAGAGATGGTTTTCCAGTCTCTGCTGGATTGGATGTTTGAGTTCTATGTTTTGTGTTGGGTTTTGTTTTGGCCCCATGTGTTTGAATCAACTTTGTGTTTCCACATTGTGAACCTACCGGTGCTGTTGGTAAGTTAGCCCCAGGCTCTACGCCGAGTTCAGCTCCGCATAGTTTTTGGTGGCAATAGGTATATAATAAACTTAAAAGAGTGTCAGGTTAGAGTTTTGAAGCCTATTTTTGTTTCTTGTGCTGTGTTCCTTAGTCTCTGTTGTGGTGAGATGCATCACATATTGTATACGTTGTGATTGTTAATTGCGCAGCTGAGCTACGCTGCATACTTTCAGCTGTCTTGATGCTTACTCTGCAAGTTGCTTCTGTGTTACATGGTTACTGCGGTCTGGGTCTGCGTCCTAAAGTTTGGACATTATAGTGGGACGGCCCTGTTTATTCACATGTTTAACCATAATTATCATTTGTCACCAAGGCGTTTTGAAAGACCCGGTTTCAGAATCTTTGATGATTGTGAGTTTGCCACTAGCAGTGCAGTGGTTGTCAACATCGTATCCTCAGTATACTTTAGATTTGAGATCACAGCATTTCTTGACCACTCTTGACTAGCAGTGCAGTGGTTGCCATATCATGCAGGCAGTGCCATGATGTTTCAGCTGGTGACCACGAACAGGCTGCGGACCAAGTGCTTTCCATCTGACCATGTTATGGAGCCCGACAGGGCGCCCTTGGCTGCCGTGTCGTCGTCGCTGTCGTCGTTCCTGCTGCGGAAGGTCACCTGGAAGGCCAGCTTCTTCACGCTCCTGGTGAACTCGAGCTTACTGGGCGTGACCTTCACGTCCAGGCCGGCCGGCGTGCCGACGGCGACCGTGAAGGTGTAACACCTTAAAATTTGCATCATTTTAAAATAAGATAATTTAATTTATTTATGTATTTATGTGAGCATTTAAACTTAGAAAAATAAAAATGTTGTTGAAATTAAAATCAAATATAAGGTCTAGCTACAAGTTTGTGCACACATGCTGTTGCATATTTATTTGTGATGATTGGGTTTGAACAAAATTTCAAAAGGATTTAAATTTGAATTGAATTTGGATTTGAAAAACATTGGAAAAAAAATGGGATCTCTCTCCCTCCTTTCTCTGTTTTTGGCTTGAGGAGCCCAGCTCGGCCTGCTCCCTTCCTCACAGCCCACTCCTCACCTCTATCCCATGAGACCCAATCCAGCTCTCTCTCTACAGAGGCTCTTCCATTCGCCCTCACTCTCCATGCCCGCGCTTAGCAAGCTGCCACCCACTTCCTCCCTTTCTTTCCCAGCGGCCCGCCAAGGCACCGGCTTAGCCGCAACATTCAAAGCTCAGCAGCCAAGCCGCCTGCCTCTCTCTCCTGCGCCTTGAGTCGCTGACAGGTGGGCCCGCTCTGTCAGACTAGTCATCTTCCTCACGTCACGCGACCCGGACTCTGCTTCACCGGAGTCCGCTGCCGCCCCGTCCCGCGTTGTTGTCGTGCGCTCCAAGCCGCTTCGCCCCTTAAATACCGAGCCGCAGGTGCCGCGCCGCCCCATCCCAGAACCTTAGCTCGCGTCGCCCTCGCCTCGAGTCGCAGCGCCGTCGAAACCCTAGCCGCCGCCATGCTCGCCGTCCTCCCCGCCGTGTCCCGCGTCGTCTCCGTGCCGCTTCTGACCGCGAAAAGCATCGAGGTGAGTTCGCCATCCCGCTCTCTTTCTCCCCGTGCTATTCCCGCAAGGAACCGAGGTCCTAAGCCCTTTTTTGTCGAACTCCGGTGAGCTCTCATCGCCGGCAATGGCCGACCACCGCGCCTGGTCATCTTCTCCGACCGGCTTTTCTCTCTCTCCCCCTCCCGTCTGAACTGCATCATCCATCTTTGATCCAACGACTTAGATCGGCCGATACCGGTTCGGCCGACAATTTTGTTAAAGAGCCCCTCCACTTTTCCATATTCGAACCCGCGGTCCAAAGCGTATTTCCAGAATACGTTTTCTTCTTTTGAAAGTGTAGTTTTCTTCGGTTAGATTCAAATACGTTTTCTCTTTCAGAAAGCTTAGAATTCCTCTGTTAGATTCAAAATACGTTTTCTTCTTTTGAAAACGTAACTGCTTCGGTTAGATCCAAAAATACGCTTTCATCTATTTACAGTTTTGCCACTATTTTCTTTAGGCCATAACTTCTCCGTTTTAACTCCGATTTGATCCGTTCAAGTTGCGTTAGATTCGTATTTGCGTAATCTACGTGTTCATCCTACTGTTAAACATGTTTTCAACTTTTAAAATTCGAAGTTAGATTTAATTTATTATTTTATTAAAGAAAATATTGTTTAATTCATAACTTTTTCGTTATAGCTCCGATTAGAGTGCTTTTCACGTAGTAACGTGTAGAACATCTTTAAAACCTTTTTACTTGTTGTTTATTATGTTTAGCGTATTGTTCTAGTTTAGTTCTATTGTTTGCTTCGTGTGGATGCTTGTGTGGTGCTTTATGATCATGTCCAGTCGGTGAGCTATACGTGGTGAATCGAGAAGCAAATCATTGAAGGTTTTGACTTGAAGAAGGATCAGAGTTTAAGGCAAGTATAGCATGGGATCATCCTTGTCCTATTCACTTTAATAATTTAATCATATGCATGTGTCTACCTCGGCAACCATAGTAAATTTTCCTAGCTATTTGATATCTTGGATTCCTTGTCATCTATGGGGTATTGCATTGGGTAGTATGATGCTAGTGCTCAACTAAAGCCATGATCTTGTAACTTGACTAATGGAATATGTAATAAACACTAAAAGATGCTTTTAGCAATATGGAACAGGGGGGCTAGAGCATTGGGCAGTTATTATGATGCTCTAGATTTCTCTCCCTAAGGACTTATTCTTAAGTGATCATCCGGGACTTATAGTATAACTGTGAGGGTCACATGGCTCTGGCTTTAGTCAAGTATGAGAAACTTTTCTAGCTTGTTAGTGGTTACCTTTATGGCGCAAAAGGGGCTTGCCGAGTCGGGTATAGGACAACCTCTACTCTTATGTGTATAAGCCATGAAGGAATTATGCCATTCGAAATGGGGTTCCTACATCTGCTTGCCAAGTGAATCCAAGCGGCCCTAACTTGTTAGACGAACCTTTGAAAGGCTTCATAGTGAACCCTGCCGACCTTCCTTGGAAGTGGGTCAAGAGGCTGATCACCTCGGGCAAAAGGGTAAATCACGACTCACAGTGAAAGTGTACAACCTCTGTAGAGTGTAAAACTGTTATAACATCCGTGCTCACGGTCACGATCGGCCTTGGTGTGGTAGAACCACCCGAAATAACACGCTTATGGGGGTGCTCGTCTTCCACCAAACACTAAGCACCCCGAAAGCAAGCTACAGCAGGCGGTATCCGTCGGGCACACCCCAAGGGAGAACCCGAAAGATCCATATTTTTCCCAAGGATCCAATAATGAGAACGAGTTACAATACTGGTCCATTTCATACATCAGAGTTTCTTAAAAATTACATTATTACATTACCAAATGTCAGAGTGCGGAATAATAAACAACGAAATTTAAAATAAACATCTAGCGATAAGAACGAGGATCCGTCTGTGCCCACCAGAAGAATCCTCCACACAATGGTACTTCTCATGCATTACCTGCAACAGGGGTAAATAAACCCTGAGTACACAATATACTCACAGGACTTATCCGACTAGTGGGAATAATTTCCCGACTTCAAAGAATATGATAAGCTTTATGGTTTGCTGGTTTCTTTTGACAGAAAGCAATACTAATAGTGAGTCCTTATTTATATTATTATTATCAGCCGTATTAAGTTATTATCTATCCAGTCTATATAAGCACCTGTTCTACTTTCAAGCAAGAGTTGAGCAATCAGTTCCATTTCATTATCTTCCATCTTTCAGTTCTTACTACGATGCTAGAGTTAAGACAAGCCGTATCAACTCGGCGGCGATTCACGAATCAATGTCCCCAGCTGGGTGCCCCAAAAACACACTCCCCGCTTGTACCCCAGGCACAAGCAGGACCAACCCATCACCCTCCTGTCCTGGGTGTCCAGGTCCCCGTCCAAACTTGGACTCCAAGCCCCCACTCCTAAGTCCCAGACTCAGTGCGGTGCAAGGACCTCCACCATCCCCGCCTCCAATCAGTCGGTCCAGAAAGAGCCGGATCCATGACAAGAGAGCAATAAGTCTTCCCTGCGCCCATACCCAAGTATGTGCTCGGGACAATAGATATGTGACTTGCCTAGCGTCCGTTGCAACGACCAATCCTTAATTGACACAGACTGGGAAAAAGTGTAACCGAGCTATGTCCTGTTGGCCGCATGACACAACCCTTTACACCCACCAGTACCCAAACCATATCCCTACCCGGTCACCATTTTCCTTTCCACCATTTTATCATGAGTGATCATATTTATCACCTATTTGCGAGTAACGATAGGTTACTCACGCTACCGATATTCTGAGCATAGAAACTACTCGACCTATACTAGTAGGACTCATGGGTAGATATATTTATGCATGTAGTTTTCATAAAATTCTTGTAACTTAAATGCACATCATATATATATTCAGTGATCATAAAATAGGGGTTAT